ATTACAAGCTGGGCCTTTAATTATTCATTTATGTAATTATAAAATTTGAGACTAATTAGCTAGTCTAAGTGAACGGTCAGTTACAGCATAACGTCTCCAATTCTTTCGTCTTTCGTCTTTTTCAACTGACAAGCTGGACTTTTGTAGACTGTGGCTGAGAACAACGTGTGAACATCTGGGCGTGATGACGCCTTTAAAACCCTGCTGAGGGTCTGTGCTGACTCGGCTGGTTTTACCTTGATTAAAATGTGTGTGTATGTCGGTCTTACCTTATCTAACCTCTGTGTGTGCATGAGGCCTGTGAAGCGATGCAGCCGCCAGAGGGCGAAGCATTTTAATGAAGGAGATGAAACCCTGAGCAGACCTGAGCAGGTTTCTGATCAGGGCCAGAGAGGACAGAGAGAAAGATAGAGAGAGTAGGTAAAAGAAGAAAAAGAGAAGTCAAATAGTTCGATTGTGCTGAATTGATGCTGATACTTCCCATAATGCACTGCTTAAAGAGGCAATTTTTTCTCCTAATTCTGGCCTGAAGATGACCACGTCCATCTTCTCATCTGTGTGGCACCGCTCATATGTCCATAATTACTGGATTTCAGTGAAACTGAGTGAGAATGTTCATGATCACCAGACGGCGAATCCTAATAATTTGGGGGAGCTTTCTTTTAGCGCTACATTCAGGACAAAGTGTCAAGAGTTTGTCTTTTGATGTAGCCGTATCTTCATCAGATTCTTTATGATAAAAGTGAACAAATATTATTACTATAATATAAAACCGACCCGTTGGATGATTCTGCAAAACCTTGGATTATATTTGTACAATATGTAATGTCAGAGAAACCTCACGGTTAAACAGTAAAAACTGTTCATACTTCCCTTCTACCTGTAGCTTGCTCCACTAAATTTGTCTGACAGCTTTAGTTACCAGTTCCTTTACAGATTATAATTTGGTGATTTGGTAAAGGAGTAAGTGTTCCCTTATTTGTATAAACCCACTTGGATTAATTGGAAAATGCATCGTCTCAAAGCTGAAAATGCTACAAACATACAATTTTATGCTGTAGATTAATAATCTTGCAAGACTTCAGCAGGATACCAGGAGGCTTGCTGGAATTGCAAAATAATGTGAGAATGCATCTTTCCAGATCCAAAAATCTACAGCATTGACTTCTGCCCTGTACCTACAGCACTAACATATGCCCTGTGTCTACAGCACTGATTTCTGCCCAATATCTACAGCACTGACAGCCGCCTAATATTAATGATATCATTATTGTTAGTAGTATATGAATCAAAAAGACTGTATAGATATCTGACCGGTATCTACAGCACTTACATATAAAACAATAAGAAAGTCACACATCATTCAGCTGGTGTCGGGTGTATTGTTAAACATTTTGGTGGCGATATTTTAGTGAAATAGAAAAATGTTGTGCAGGTTGTGTGTATTACAGTAACAGTACAGTAAGACATTTATGGTCACTGTGGACCAATCTGAACTTTGTTTAAAACACGATATCTAGTATCCAAAGAATGTCTGTGTGGATGTTGTTAGCATTTGAATGCAGACTTGTGGATATATATATATATATATATGTTAATAGATTTAGCATATATTGAAAAATATAGAGTGATAGATTTGGTTAGATAAGAGCATGCACTTGCTATACTTCACACACTCCTGTACTGAAATAGCTACAATGGCCACTATAAGGATAATTTTCACACTTTCTACAATATTCTCTTCTCAAAACAGTTCTCCCCAAATAAAACCAAATCACAATCTCAAGATGCAATAAAATATCAAAGATAGCTATCAAAGGTCGTTATATAAAAACAGGCAAAAGTTCAATAAAACAAAGTATAAAATGTGACATTTTGGTCTCCGCTTCCCTACAGTGTCAACAGTGGGCAACACTAGCTAACATTAGCTTATAAATGGAGTCCGCTAACGTCTACAAATGACCAACACTCATTATGACACAGAGATCAACAAAGTCCTACGTCTAAGCTAACATTACTGCAACAGCCAGAATCACCCCAAACAGCTTCATATGTGGAAATTAGAAATATGTGTCTGCAAAAATGTTATAACGGTCCAAAACACGTACGGGACTACAGTCAGTGTTTGTCTGGTCTGGGCTACTGAACTTAACTGTGCAATACTGCTTTTATTGTGAAACATTTGTAGGACCATGTTGTAGGGGTGTAATGATACGAGTATTAATCGCAAACCATAGTTCATTATGTTCTGTGACCCAATCAATTACTGAACTGAACGTATTTAAATGAATTAGTGATAATTATTTTGCTTTGGCATTCTGGGAAACGCAGTAAATCAACACAATGACAACATGCGCTCTTGATTAATGAGTCAGAAAACTTAATAGGTAAAGATTTATATATTATACATTTCACAAAATTGAGAATTATGGGACACATCACATGATTTTGATTCATTAAGTTACATTTATGAGCTATTACAAAATATAAGGAACCAATGATATAATTTATGATGTATTATTTCTAAATGTATTTTTTACTTTTATAATAATAAAATAAGCACATTCAGTCGACTAAGATCAGCCAGTGTCGAGGATCAGAGGAGGATTTTTCTCTTTAATAGAACCTCTGTTTCATCACTCTGCTCTGAAGGCCCTGAAGCTGTTTTCATTTATTGATGAGGCAGCTGATCAATACATCATGTAGCCACAAATGATAGCAGTGCCGCGTTGGAAGTGTTCACTGATTCATAACAGATGTTCTGCGTGGGCTTCAGTCCCTCAGCTGCTGATTAATTGATCAAACATCTCTCGTCAATGCAGCCTAATCCCTCAGGTATAACTCTGCTGAAATAAAGAGAACATTCAGGTTATAGTAGATTTACATTATTGACACAGAGCCCACAGTGACTTCATTAGGTTAACACACAGTGGACAGCGAGGACAGAAACATGTTCAGGAGCCTGTCTTCACATCCAGATACAATTTATACAAGTTTGTCAATATGGACATATGATCAGGTCATATTCAGGATATTATAATGTTCTCTTAGCAGCATGTGAACATCTCATCCTGTTACCAGTGAGCACAATCCAGATGTTATAGGTACAGCGTGTAACACTGTTCCAACAATCACCAACTCTCCTTTGGTTGAAATAACCCTTACTTCAGTTAGATGTGAAAATATTGGTGAAGGGCTGCAATGGCTGCAATGTAAGCTAACGCTAATCTTTCTGGACGAAATGTGCCTGTCGATGTACGTCCACTAAAATTACATCATCATAACTTCATTCAAAGTGGACAGAAACTACATAAAACTCACCAAAACCGTCTCTATTAGTGTTTCCAACAATCCCCAACTCTGGTTTGGTGGAAATAAATCCTTAATTCACCGACGTAGATGATAAAAACAGCAGTTTCAGTCGGAGCAGACCGGCTATGGAAACAAACCACAGAGAGGCTGCGATACAACACAGGCAGAGGGAGAGAGACACCATGTGACTCTGTGTCTTTACATAGAGAACAGTTTACTGCTATTTCTGATTTACATCTCATATATAGAACCTTCAAGTTTAGCCAACATGTACAGACATATTAATCTCACATTTCAAAAATATATTTCTATGTGAATATCTACCTAGATCTTTCTCTTCATTAACTATCTCTCTATACTTTAACTCATCAGTGGGCTCAACTGACCTCACACATTGTTTTTTAATAGAATACAAGCTGAGCAGCCAGAGGCAAAGTGATATGTTGAATTCACATAATGTGATGCAGATTGACACAGTTGAAGTCTGAAGTTTCCCTGCAGGAAGATTTCAGTTTTCTGTTCAAACATTCAGAGAAATGAAACATCACAAACACTCCTCATTACTCTGCAGGAGACTCAGCTGGACTTAAGATATGACACATTAGATCTGTACTCAGCTCTTTCTGTCTTCTATATCCAACACGTGTTCGTCGGAGGAAAAAACTATTAAAAAAACTACTGTTGAATGTTGGGGGTCGAGGCTCTGATGTCCCTCTAATCTGTTGAGGACCCACTTCTACGCTGCTGGTGTGATTTTGTCCTCCTTTTTTTTAAAGTAACAGCATGTTGTTGTTCTTGTTTTTCGCTCCACCCATCGACCATCTGTCAGCCTTCATGTATGATGAGTCACACAGACACATGCAGATTATGGAAATACAGCCTAATATTAGGTTTCCATATGACCATCCGCAGAGCGAGGAGACGATGTGAAGCAGCTTAATGTCCAAACACTTCTAACCAGAATCTGAATTTCTCCTGTCAATACATATCTTTAATGTTAGGTCTGTAACATTAAAATGCTCCTTGTGTTTAAAAGCTTCAGTCATAATAAGCCAATAATATGAGTATAATAATGAGGAGTGTAGTACATACAAAGGTAAACTATAGATTACAACCCTTTATTTATTGATCTGTGAGTGAATAAACCACGACGTCCCTGAATATGACAACATATCTCTCTGAAAGGGACTGGCAGGGCTGATCTGGAGGGCTTGCTGTTACTCCGTCGGCTGGTGTTGGATAACTTTATTCAGTGTGGCGGGGTTGCAGCTTCCTCTCTGACATTATAATGTATTTAGGATGGGTCAAATGCAGAGGACAAATTTTGTTTTGCGTATGTAAAATGATGAAAATGCTGTATATACAATTTATAACAAGCAAAATACCATCTGTATCAGTGGACCTGTTTAGTTGGCTGTGTATTTGTGAGCTTTTGTTAATGGGAGGGCAGGGTTTTAGTACTGTAAGTCGAGGCAGACGGCCTCTTAAAAGGAAGTTTTTCTTTGCTGCTGTTGCCAAGGGCTTGCTCATGGTGGGAACTGTTGGGTCTCTGTAAATAATGTTATAAAGAGTTCAGTCTAGACCTGATCTATTTGAAAAGTGTCCTGAGATAACTTCTGTTATGAATTGGTGCTATACAAATAAAACTGAATTTAATTGAATTAAAAAAGTACACATACAAAATCAGGTTAGGTCCAGATGGAAGTTTTATTTCTTTAGAAAACAAGAGCGCGGACTCATAAAAGAGCTGAGACAGTAGGCAGGAAGGTAAATCTACACTTCAGTTTGGAAACAACAACTTTCAACCACTTAGAAAATATAGAGGAGCTCTGTTCACACACTGATACACACAATCTGCACATCATCTTCACTGGAAAAAGAAAGGCAGGGTGTGACATCTGCAACAAAAATGATCTGCTTGTAATTCATCGCAATTCACAGTAATGAAAGAAAATAAACAGAAGGTTTTGGATTTTGTACAGTCAGAAGCTAGAGAATATATTTTAAAACCACTTAAATATTTGCATTTAATTATTCTTTATTAATTTTCGTAATTTGGGAATATTTTTCTTTAATCATTTTTTTAATCTGTTTTTAAACTTAAATTTAATGTTAAAAGTATTTACTTGGAAGTTTGTGCACACTGAAATCAAAACCAAAGCACTAAAATATTTTATTTTGAAAACCACGTCTTTAAATGTATTGATTTATGTTTGCATTAAATGTGAAAATGTTAAAGTTTTGAAAAAACAATAATAAATAAAATAATAGACCAGTTCCCCCCGTGAATTTCATCTTTACAAGTTTCTTTGTATAATGCATTTTGTGCCTTTTAAAAACCTCTTTTCAGACATATAAAGAATGTCAAACAACATGGTTTTCAAATTAAGACTTTCATGTATTGACTTCAGTGATATTTACTTCCTCATTTATCTGTTCGATTGTTTTTTGAGTGCAGAGCCAAACAACAAAAAATAAATAAATTCATTAGTCCATGAAGCACCTACTTGAATTTGTTATCAAAACTAAAACCTTTGCATTGATGAACTACGACATTGAGGTTATAACACAGTGTAAACACTAAGAAAACATCAGTGTGTGTATTTTCAGTTGCGACTTGAGGGAGAACCAGATAATAATAACGCTGCAGAAAGAAGGACACGTGATTCATACGAAGCCCCGAACAATGTTGAGCTGAAATTTACAGTCGCGGTTGTTTTTGTTTCGGTGACACAACTTTTTCAAAGCCACAACACAGAAAGGACCATAGAAAAAATGCATTTAAAATGAAACACTTCACAGTTTCAGGGTAGATACATGTTCAACAGGAAGTACCTAAAGGAAAAATCCACCTTAAAAACCCAGCCATTCAGAACACACACACTCATATAAAAACAGAACTTAGGATGAACTTGTACATTTTCTCCTCCTGTGGATAAACATCTACTTCATGCATTGCATCAAACCCAATTTTTAGCCAGAAAATGGAAAAAACAAACAAACAAACAAACATTTGTACATCATGAGTGCAACAAACACCAGCTTCATCACGCAGCGCTGCATATTAATCAGCTGATCATTAGCTAGTAACCTTACCGCCTTTCCTCAGCAGTAAGATATTTTCACCCACAGGAGGTGGTGACTCTTTTAAAAAACTAAAGAATAATCAGATCAGGTTGAGTAGAAAAGTACAAAACAAAAGTAAATTACAAGAATCTTCACTTGTTTATATCAAAAATGATACGGACGTATTATAAGACAATGAGTCCCAAGAACAGACATTTAAAAAGCTCCCCACTCTTCCTGCAAAGCACTGCAGACATTTAATCATTCTCCGTCTCTCCGTCTTGTGGTTGTGGGTCTCTTTAAGGTCGTTTAGTGTCTCTTGCAGTTTTTTGGATGTGTTTGCAGTAATTTAGCGCCTCCTTTTGGTTGTGTTGGGTCTCTCTGCGGTAATATTATGTCTGTTTGCAGTCGTATTGAGTCTATTTGTTGTGGTGTTGGGTCTCTGTATGGGTCAGTTTGCATCCTTTTGTTGTCCTTATATTGACTTTCCAACAAGACTTGTTAACAGTCACTTAAAACAAAGGCTCTGGACCAGGGATCCCCTGACCCCTTGGACTCCCGGCCCTGTGCCCGTTAAGGCCCATCCAATACTCCATTCATGACTGAGGGTGGATTTTCCCTTCAAGTACAGTGTGAAGAAAAACAAACGAGTTGGGTAAACCAGCAGCTCAAAGGCAGCGGCAGTTCCCAAAATTGAACACGAACACACAGAGAAAAACACACACCAGCATAGAGAAAGCCAGTTCCGACTCCCTTAAAGGGTAAAAGACAGCAGTGGCAGAGCTGCTGGAGTTTCTAATCCTATGTAAACAGGCTTAGTGTAAGGCAAGGAGGAAGAGGAGGGGGTGGAGGAGGAGAGAGAAAGTGAACTTTAAGATGAGACAGAGGAGGAGGGATGAAGGTGTGGGAGGAAGACAGAATGATGAAGAGGAGGAGGAAAGCGATCAAGACGATGAGTAAGCAGAGGAAGGTGGACAGGCGAGGAGGAGGAGGAGGAGGAGGAGGAGGAAGAGCAGGATGCAGATGGCTGAAAGGCAGACAGCAGAATTAAAGGGATCAGACGAAGGCTCAGACGCACAAACTCATGAATTTCTGCTGAAACCTGAGTCAGAAACGAGACTTCTGCAGCAGAAAGCGAACGCCTCACTCAACAACAAGCTGCTCGAGTTTTAACGTCTCAGCTGTCGTCCTCTCACGTCTGTCAGTTTGTTCTCTGAAATGTTAAGAAATTCAATCAATACAGATATAAACAAATATTCATAGCAGTCTGTGATTAAATACTCATTTCTGAGTTCCACAAAAGTACGGAAGGTCAGAAAGAACAAAACTAGAGATGTTTTTGTTTAATAAGTGTAATTGTGATTCTAAAAAAAGAATGATTCATGTTTAATAGAAAAACACTGTAAATCTAACTCTAAAATTTAAACTCGTTAAAAGTTACTTTTATTACAAATGTGGTTTTAATTGTTGATATTTAAAAAAAACAATACAGTTGATTTAAAGAGAAGTGCTCCAGTTTTGGTAAACAGTTATTGTAAATAATACAAATATTAAGCTGAAAGAAAATAATTCACATTAACAAGACTTTTATTTTATCTTAAAAATAACAATCGTGTTAATGAGAAAAGTTCATAAAGTAAAGTTGTTTAAGTTAAAATTTTAACTAGCTAAATGTTTACGTTTTTCCTCCCTTATGCCAATTTTTAACATCAACAATTGAATTTATTGATATTCCAAAACATTTTTTCCCTCTTATGAAGAAGAAATTATAATTAGTTTTTAACTATTCTTAGAGTCAAACAAAATCAGAGAGCGGTTTGCTTCCTCAGATTTCCTGTACAAACAGGCAGTTAGGGAGGGACTAACTATGTGCTACGTCCCCCCAGTCCAGCAGCTGTAGTATCCATTAGCTGACTCTGTTGGACTGGGAGCTCCTAGTGAACAGCAGACCGGAACTGAATGCAGCATCTGATGCTGACGGAAGACAGTTTGACTGCAGGGAATAAAGGACTCAGGTGGGTTTAGCAACGGGTCCATCTTGAAACTCCATAAATCACCTCGGTACCAACTGTCCTGTCTGTCTCAGAGGTTGTGTTCACTGGGAGGCTGCTGAGCCCTGTTTGGTTTAAGAACTTTATTAAATTAATTAAATAACCTAATTGACTGATTGTGTCTAGGGTTTGGTGGAATGGTGGGATTTGAAAACTGTAAAATACAATAAACACTTGAAAGCAGCAGAAGTCGGTGTAGCTGTAGTCGGATTTGTCTGATTCTCGTCCCTCTGCGTGCTCGTGATTACTGATGAAATTGTATGTTTGCCTCTCAGGTTGGGCTGGATAAATGAACACAGCTTCCTGTCTCTTGATGAGCTCTTCTGATGTTTCTGTAGGATGAAATCGGCCTGCGGCTCTGCCCGCTGTTTATCTGTGAGGCTTAATTGATGTCTCGCTTCCTCTTTTCTCCTCGTCTCTTTCTGCTCTCTTATGTTTATCTTGATCGGATTCAGCTTCATTTTCTCGCCGTCTCACTGATTTAAAAAGAAACAGAGACGGAGGAGAGGGCGACAAAAAGAAAATTATGTTCTTGCTCTCTCTCTCAGATTCAGCTCATTTCTCTCTGTCTCCTTTCCATCTGTCTCTGGGTACTCTTTAAGCAGTTAATAATTAAACCCATCACTGTCATCCTGGGGAAACCAGCTCCAATAACACACAGCTAATGCATTGGTCCCACTACAGGACTTTTAAAGTCCTATACATCTAACTGTCTTATAATCTGGAGTTTTTAAGTATTCCCCGAGTCTGTGTGGTGTCTACGTTTCATCAGGAGTGTAAAAACATGCACAAAGAGCAATCATTGAGAGCATAATGCTGTAAGAAGAGTACAGTCCGCTGATAATGATCCTGATCAGCCAGCATCAATAATCAATACTTCCATTATTAAAGCATTAATCAAACTAATACAATCAGACAACCTTATCAGACTTTAGCAGTTAGCTAGTGTTGCTGTAGTGGAGACTAAACGTTAACAATGATCCATATCAGCAGTTTGAATCCAACTAAAAGCTCCCTGCACCAAACTCCCTTTAAGAAATATCACATTTTAACAATTCCTAACGTGTTCGTAACAACACGTAACTCTAGAAACACGAGCTAAAGGCCGTCATATGTCCACAGTCTGACTGTCAATACAGGATCAATATCATCCATAAAGATACAGTGTATACTGATCAATATCATCCATAAAGATACAGTGTATACTGATCAATATCATCCATACAGATACAGTGTATACTGATCAATATCATCCATAAAGATACAGTGTATACTGATCAATATCATCCATAAAGATACAGTGTATACTGATCAATATCATCCATAAAGATACAGTGTATTCTGATCAGTAATCAAAAAAGATACAGTTTTTGATGATTTGTCGCCTCAGCTTGTAAGAGGGAGAAGACTATGGGAATGAGAGTCGGACCTTTTTAATATTGATCATTTCTCAGTAGAATCAGAGCTGGTTGTGGATCAGATACAGATCGTCTGTATGTGTGTGTGAGGCTGTTATTAACTACCCGGTTCACCACGTCCAGTCTGGTGCCGGAGAGAGAGAGACTGCTCTCATTGGCTGTAGCTTGTAGCTCCCCAACGCAAAGAGATATTGATCCTGATAGATATAAAAACAGCGTCTTGCAGACAACCACATCGCTGACGCAGGCAGAAAGGGGATATGATGCCATTGACAGGCGACTGGTGAAACGCAGCGTTACCTGAATAAAATTATAGATTTATGAGTTTGAACATTGTTGGAAAAATTTGGGATAATGTAAGAACTCAACTCCATATAGAACATAGAGCCAGAGTTTATACACAGTTTAATGCCAAAATGTTAGCGATTATAGGTTTAAAGCTCTAATAAATATTTAACCAACTATTTGTCCCTACTTGGAGGTGGGTCCTCAAAATGTTGGTCTATAAACCTGTTTGTCCCCACATGACAACACCAGGTATACATAGCTGTCCAGAGCCTTAAAGAAACTAACTGCAACTGAAAAAAAGCCTCCACACAGATTTGGTTTCCCTCTTGCAGCCGCTGACAGCAGAGTAATGAGAGTTTTAGCTCTTTCAGGGAGAGACGAGCGAGAGAAGAACCAAGGAGATAAGACAGAGTAAGACGTCTTCCTCCCAGAGAGCTCCTCCTTACTGTTCCTTCTTCCTTTATCTAGTATTTCCCTTCTTCGTATGCTTTTGCAACACAAATGTATTTCACCTGTCAAGCCTGTGAAGCTAAATGAGAAATTTAAACAGTGACAGAGCTCGAGGGAAGAGAAGCCAGCCATGAGGATAAGAAAATCTGAAGGCAAGAGAGATAAAGTGAATAAAAGCGTGTGCTTGAGAAACGAATGGGAATGAAAGAGGTGAAGACATCCAGGGAGAGATGGACGGGGTTTGGAGGTTGGGAGTGAAGTCGGGTTGGGGGTTTGGTTCGGCAGTGAGCTGCTGCGAGTGTTCGACAGCCAGTGTGAGTGTGTGTGGAGACACAGTATCCTTTAGCAGTGTGTGTGTGTGTGTGTGTGTGTGTGTGTGTGTGTGTGTGTGTGGCTTACAAGATGTGCACGTGAAGACAAAGGCAGTACTGTAGCTGTGGATACACTTGTATACTGTATCATCGTGTGTGTGTCCTCACTGCTGTGGGGACTTATAATGTAAATAAACCCCGAAATTCAGCTAAATATTCAACCACTAGAGGCTAACTCTCCGGTGTCTGTGGGGAAGTGTCAGGGTAGGCTACGTAGCAGGCTGCAGTCTGCAGAGTGGGGTGAGGTTTTAGCAACGGATGTATTAAGAAGAACTTAATACAATTCCCCAAATTACCCAGATTTTCTGCATAATCTTCCCATAGAACAAGCACACTAGAGACTTCCGCCAGCTGAGTCGCTAAGGTCTGGTTTAGCCCTCCGCTAACTTTAATGGAGATAAAATATTTAATTGTGCCTCTCTTTTAAACTTTTCAAATGTTATCAGACTGAATGGATCAGATTCAGATATAATGAGACATTTTGCGGGGGTGTTGATGCGTGTTGATAGTTTCGGGGTTTAGTCACTCTTTTAAAAGTGTGTGTTTGTTCTTCTATCTTTGTGAGGACAAATGAAAGATTTACATCTTGGCAGTGAGGACCTTTTTGGAAAGTGGGGACATATTTGTAAAAATACAAAAATGTTTGACAAGTGAGGATTTTTTTAAAAGTAAACTTGTAAACTTTTTAGGTGTTAGGTTAGAAAATATATTGTGTCAATAATGGACCTCACAAGTATAGAAGTAGCATCTGTGTGTGTGTGTGTGTGTGTGTGTGTGTGTGTGTGTGTGTGTGTGTGTATCTTTCTGTCAGTCCATCAGTTTACCTCAGACAGACAGGAGGACGACTGAAGAGCTGCGTTCAATAACAAGAAAATCCATGTTTGAAAAAGAAATAACATAAAACAAGACTGGTGTTTTGCTGTGGTGACGATTTTCAGCTTCAACCCCTGAAGAACGACTTTGTCCAAATGTTAGATGATTTGCTCAAACTTTGGACATAAGTGGCAGAACCTGGGTGAAGTTGATGTGGAACAGGTGCTGCTTTTTGGGCGATTAAAGTTGTTTTTTTCAATCAAAATCTGGACCAAAAAAAACAACTTTTGGGGGAATGTATCCCCACTGGGACAAATAAATAAAAACAGAAACGTTTTTTTTTGGCACATTTTGTTGGACAAAAAGGGCTGAAAAATTTGATTTTTTTCTAATTGGCAAAAATGAGCCAGAAGTGCCTAAATTTTGATTTGCGCCTTTCCCCCTTTAGTCCACATTGTTGGATTTCTTTGCTCAAGTAACGGATGTGAAACCTAAACTACAGCCTTCCAAAATATCTACAGCCATGTTTTTATCAAGTCTGCAGATGAAACCTGTGACTCTGTTCAGATCTTCATTAACTAACATAAAAGCACTAAAGTCTGAGTTTAGAAACTCAGCTGCAGTGTGAACGGAGCCTAAATGAGCAAATTTTCCAGCATTAACAGAAATCACGATGCTTTCTAAAGCACAGCAGGCGACTCAAAACTGACAAAAACACTTCAGATGATAAAACACCATGAAAATGAAACTCTGTGATTAGAGGCATTGAACTGGAAAGAAAACGAACATGGGCTGATGCTTTTCCTAAATAAATCTGTATCGTTGTGGAGATGAAACTCTTCAGTGATCCTCCACTTGTGTCCTGCTGGGCAAGAAACCAAAAATCCATCTTTTTTTAAAAATATTCCACCTCTGATGTCTGGAAGGGCCCTATAAGGGATCAAAGAGGGCCCCAAATCTTTTATAAGTCCTCAGAAAAGGAGAAAAAACCCCTCCATTGTGGTGGCTGAGATGTCAGATCCACCCTTCCATCTGTCACTGTTGCGTCCAGTCAGCAGACAATTCAACGAGGAGAGTCTCCCAACAGTCAGGAAGAGAAACCCCAAAATAAATCATATTTCTTCTGTTTCTGTTGATGTTTTTTTCCTTCAGGCAGAGGTTCGGTCACCCTCCCTGCAGAGAGGACCCCTCCGGAGAGCCTCAGGAAGTTTTCACCGATTGAAAATGGAGGAGACAGGAACAACCTTGGAGGGTTTCTGCCACACTGCATGGAGAAGGGGAGGACAGCGGTCTTAAATCTGAGGGTGAGGACCCCCACCAGGGCCAGGAGGTGACTCTAGATCGGTCACAAGATCATCTCTAAGAATAGACAAATCTAATCCAGAAAATTAACTTCTATGTATGTAACTTCCATTAGATGTTTTCTCATGTGAGCCATCGTCCCGCTCTCTTCCAGCATCTTCATCCAAACAGGAAGTGAACCCTGCTGTGTGTTTCAGTGTTCAGCCCCCCTCCCCCACAGAGAAAAGCCCAGAGGGAGGCGGCCTTTCATATCTTCAAACCATTTCTCTGCTTGAGGGGGATTTTCAGCTCGAAGGTTTGAAAGGAGACTTCCAACCACAAGGAAGCCCATTACAGCAAGAGTTTCTGCTGGTCGCCTGAGGGGCTCTGCTGCCGCTGCTGCAAGGGAGGAGTAAAAGCAAGAAAAACATCACTGCAGTGTTGATTAAATTTCCATGAAAGTTTGGCTCTTAAACATAAGACTAGATTACCAACCAGAACTCCAGGGGCCCCCGGGCGGCTCCAGGTTAACTGTGTGCTTGTGCTCATTTAGTTTAATTACTGTAAAAAACTTAAATTGATAAAGTCTCATGGGAATCGATTTTGATTAGGATTGATTGTTATTTTCAGGGCTGAGCAGTGAACCTACATGATAGCCAGACATAAAAAAGTCAGTAGACACATTATGTCCAGACAGCATCTTGGAGCCACCTCCAAAACCCAACAGGAAGTCAGACATTTAGTATTGCATGTCAGATTTTGCCATTTCCAGGTGTTTTATTTTAACAGACTACTACAGAATTGATTGGGGTCGACTTCAAATTTGGCTATTAAGTTAAAGAAATTTTGAGGTTTGGTCATGAAGTGTAACCCCAAACCCTTAACATGTCAATATTCGGTCATAGTCACAGCGCCACCTACTGGCAACAGGAAGTAAGCCTTGCATGTCGATCATCATCTGATTAATGTGAAAGGTCTATGTATGATATTTATATCGTGACCACAGTATGACGCCGACGCGTGCAAATCTCAAGGGCCTGTTCGTCGCTGCTTGCAGCTTTAATGGTGTTTAATTGTTTGATTTTCTTTGCCTTATTGCAGTTTAATTTGTCTGGAAAAGTGCTGTATAAATAGTTTTATCATTCTGGTGGGTTACTATGGGGGATTTTGTCAAAGCTTTTCCACCGTAGCGTCGCCTTTCTCTGACATACTAAGCGAGAAGGTGATCTGATACATGCCAGTTGGCATCCAAACTGACTAAACTTGGTAAACGCACCTGTCCTTGCGCCGTTTAAGTTGGCTGCAGATGTGAACGACACCGGCATGGGTGCTGTTCTTCGGGGGGGGTTGAGCATCCGATTTCTTACTTCTCCAAGAAACTTGATTGTCATCAGAGACTGTACCCAACGATCGAGAAGGAAGCTTGTTCCTGTGATAGTTCAGACGGATCACAATGCTCTTGTTTGTCTGCTCAGGATGCAGAACACAAACAGGCATTTATGGCCTTCAGTGTGGTCATCAGACATATTCATGGCAGGGATATTGTCTGCCTGTAGAGTTGTTTCCTGAACCCTGTAGTATGAGTATTTCCATGTACTAACTTATCCAGTCCCTCCAGGATTTCACTGCCTTATTTGGGATTGTTGCTGTGATTTTATTTGTAGGCAACTTGTTCCAGTGAGAATAAACTCTCTGGTGGTTTGGTGGTATATGGATCAACATGTTCTGCTTAGGGAATTGTTATTGGTGTTGAACCCGTAGGAAACTATGATTGGTTCAATTTGTGGAAAATTGCTAGGTCATGCTTGATTTTGTGTTCACTGTTTCAACTGCAACTTCCTGGAAGGACTACTTAAATATTTTAATCCTGTTTCAACTGCATGTAACACTTTGCTACAGGGCTGTACAAATGAGTTTTATCATTATTATTAATTATTCATAGTACATGGTGTTAGTGTCCCACCGGTGGAACAGCGTGTCTGGTTTTATGGCTGCATCAAACTAGAAATATTCTAGATGGCTTGTGCATATTTGGAACTTTCCTCTGTGCAGATTTGAATGTTTCTTGTGATAACTGGCAGGTTTTCTACATTTTTAGGAATCCTGTAAAAGAAACATCCAGCTGAGGGTTTGTTTTGAGGAGGAACCAAAGAAATGATTCACCATGCCGTGTTCTTGGTGGCCTCTATTTGGTCTCCTCTTACTCAGAGCTAAGGCGACAGAGCTGTGTGTGCGCCAATCGGCTGGGTGGTGAGACGCCTGGCGTTTCAGACATCAGCTGGCACTGAAAAACACCAGTTACTAAGCAACGGCCAGGCTGGCAGGACGACGCAGAGTCGCTGGAAACCGACTTGTCTCGTCTCTGCAGTCAGAACGATTCAACAGAGCCTCCATTACTCCTCTGTGCTCCTGCATTCAACTCTCACAGGCCTCCACCTCCTCACTCAGTCAAAAATAACACCACATTGTTCACCTGTTTCCTCAGTGACATTCACTGAGCATCATCTGGATGAGTTCTTTAAGTCAAAGTTAGTAACTTGTCCATTTTGGGAAAAAGGAGAACAAAAAAGTTAAAAAGAAAAATTCTGCTCCCGTGAGAGACAGCAACCCTAACACGCTGCCCGGCAGGCAGTTTGATGGCAGTCATAGAAATCCCTCCTCAGCTTTCACACTCTTACATTTACTTCATGCTCTCGCTGCATTGCTGCTGAATCCTGCAGTGCAGTCAGAGCGCTGCAGAGTGGAGGGATTTCTACAACCTTCTCAGATCTGGGCAAAGGAATCACAGCGACAGGCAGGAAATGAGCAAGTCCTCGGACGAGTTCTCAAACAGAGAATTAGACTCTGATTAACATGTTCAATTTCTTCATTTAATCTTACAAGCACTGTTTACACGTGTTTCTTTGCCCAGATGTTTTGCCTGCCAGGCAGACTGAGGCGACAATCAGACAGAAAGCAAAAAAACCACCAAGCACACTATTTTCGAGACTTTCCAGGTCAGGTTGTGTCCTTCCTGCCTGGGTATCTTCTTCCCCCCCGACGATCTAAATGTAATTACTAAATTAGGTTTTAATGATAGCTGACAATGTGTGTTCAAGTCTGTCTCGGCGGCTGTGTCCAGTCCGGCTGCTGAGCCCGGTGCTGTTGCTTGCTGATGCCAGATACAGGTAGGGGCAGTTAATTAGCGGTTAGCTACTTTAGCTAAAGTTATCTGTCCATCAGAAAACTCTGTAAATCAGAGAGAGTTGAAGCTGAGCAACCGGAGGACATCAGAAAATATTTACTAGTATAAAAATAAAATACTTTTTATTGTTTTTCAGGTGATAACAAATTCTGAAACACCATTAAGAATAACTGAAATTCCTAAAAAATGACTTTTCTGTCATTGTTGGGCCAGATACTGGAGTACAAGTGACGTATAGCACAAGAGATATGAGATAAAAACATCAATTTTGACTTCATGGGGACTCTGCAGCCTTCTTTAATGAAGTTGTTCTATCTCCATCTGTGATATTTTTAGTTGTTTATTTTTAATGATTTAAGTTTTTACTTGGTACTAATGTCCCATCATACTGTCTAATAGCCTGGTGACTCTCCTGTACTACACCATAGTCACCACTAGAGGGGAAATGTGTGCTCGTGTTTCTGCTTTTCTCTCTCAGTGTGATTGTCGCCTCAGTTTAACCATGTTGATTGTCAGGGTTGCTGCCTCTCAGGCTGCCTGTCAGGAAATCCGGTAGTCGAAGGTGTCCTTCTCCATGTAGTCCGTCCAGGTGGACGACGGCATGCTCCGGTACGGGTCCAGAAGGATCCGGAAACAGCGGACGATCAACAGGCCTAGGAAGATGAAGAGGATGAGAACGAAGATGAAGGCCGCCCTCTGCTCAAGCGTAAGGAAGGCGGCGGACGCTGAGGAGGAAGAGGAGGAGGAGAAGTCTGATTCAGAAGCAGAGAAGGTGCTGCTGTAGAGGTCGTCGGCCATGTTGGGATGGAGAATGACTGGTTGGTTTAGACGCTCCTCTTCTTCTGTCCAGTTAGGGACCGTCAGCAGGGACACATGGTGTTTGTAGCGGAGTCCAGAGACCTGCAGAGAAAACAAACAGGAACTGGACTTAAAGGTTATGAGATATTAAACATTATATTCTCTATATAAAGACACAGAGTCACGTGGTGTCTCTCTCTCTCTGCCTGTGTTGTATCGCAGCCTCTCTGTGGTTTGTTTCCATAGCCGGTCTGCTCCGACTGAAACTGCTGTTTTTATCATCTACGTCAGTGAATTAAGGATTTATTTCCACCAAACCAGAGTTGGTGATTGTTGGAAACATGAACAGAGGTGCTTTTAATCAGTTTTATTCTGTTTCTGTCCACTTGAGCAGATAGAAAGTGTTTATGCATTCCTCCTGTAGGAGCAGTTGGTTAGTGCTCCTGTTGTTAAGAAGCTCATAAAAGTGAAAGTGTGTTTGCTTCCGTAATTACATTACCTACACACACATTATATAGTACCAACTGTTATAATAAGAGTGTAATAACACATAAATCTCTTTGCCTTCATGATTCTGTCCTCCTAAAACAGAGCTGTTTCGTAAGTCTTCAGATTCTTTATAACTTCACTGTTGTTCTCACGCCAGCAGCCTGTGGGCGTCATCTGTTTCAAACACATCGTTCTCGAAAGAAAGAAGCACTTCATTTGCTTCCCACATGGAGATTAAAGCCAAGCCCAACCCTAACCCCACTCAGATGAACAGAATCCAAAAGAGACGCCACTGTTAGAAATTAAATACTGTAAGTTTAAAGGAAAACTAGGAGAGGTGGGCACTCGAAGGTCTCTCACATTCAAACTAAAACAAAATATGTAGTTAGATGAGGTGGTGAAGCAGCGTGGGATCAAAGGGAGTTGTTGTCTTCACCACCATTGCCGTCATTGCATGACCCTCTGATTAAAACCACTAAAAACACTGAATAAAGCAGTTCCACCTCGCTGTTGGACAGACAAAGGACGTCCCGGAGGGGCTGCGAGCCGAGCTGCTGCTAACGTTAGCTCAGCTTGTTTCTCTGATAACTTAAGATCCAGACGTCCGATGACTAAAATCCTTCATCGGGTTCAAATGACTAGAGCTAAAAAGCACCAAGATCTAAACAAGTGGCTTCAGACTGGATCAACAGTCAATGTATGACAGCTTCTGGCAGACAACTACAACGTTGGTATAATATAAATGTACAGTGTTTAATGAGGAATTGTTGTAGATTTAATATCAGCTCTTCCTTATTAAACACTCTTCTGGTTTTATTTGGCTCTTTGAGTGAAGAAGAGTACAGTGATGAAGCTTTGACCTTCGTTAAGTTTTAGAACTTCTCAGATAACTTTTTTTTTTACATTTCTTTGATTTTACGGAGATTCCTCTTCAAAGGGTTCAGCCCTGTAACGCTGTGATGGATTTTCATAGTGAGAGTGACACCTCTGAGGTCAGTGTGATATTTCCCATCAAATCTAATTACTTTTTTTAAGTTTTCACACATTTTCCACGGCAGCAGCAGGAGCCTGGAGGGACTCTGGGACTTTAGTTCTTGCATTATAAAAGGAGAACATACTGCTGTGTGTGTGTGTGTGTGTGTGTGTGTGTGTGTGTGTGTGTGTAGTGAGTGAGTGAGTGAGTGAGTGAGTGAGTGAGTGAGTGAGTGTGTGTGTGTGTGTGTGTGTGTGTGATCTGTAAATTATAACTGATGATAAACAGCAGTGTTAAGGGATTCGTTTCTCTCCAGGAAAGACATAAACATACAAGCTGCATTTTAAAGGTTTTCTCCTGCAGAAACTGAAGCTGAACTGAATAAAAATGTCGAAGAAGAAGAAGACTGGTGGTGAAATATTAAAGAGGGAGGGAGGAGAGGGTTTAACTCTGCAGACTCAGCAAATCGACCATGGACGTCCTGCAGTCGCCTCATTAAAACTGATCAGAGTTATGTGACGTGCATATTTACTTCGTAATGTAACGTTATCTTTGACTTTGACCCTCAGAAACAGTCCGTCATAAGGCGTCATAAAATAGAAAGCATTTCATTGGACATAAACGTAGCATGAACGTCGGTCTCAGAGATTGTGTCCGTCCTGTGTTCACTGGAAAGTAGACACTGATGGTATCTGGTAGCTCGTAGTGCTAGCTGCACAGCAGTGAGGACGTAACACACACTTAGCACTACTCGCTGCTGTAAACGCCAATCAAAATCTGCGACTAGTCCCTCCCTACTTCCTGTCTTTAGAGGAAACATGTAAATAAGAGGTAGCAAACAGCAAACTCTACTTCCTGTTTTACGGGGACTTTAAAACCATCCTGTTGTAATATGACCAACGTTCAATGCCTGCATCAGGCCCCCATACATGATCTGATGGTAGTAAGGTTGCCACTTGGTTGGTGGTGCTTCACCATATGAAGCCGTCCCTCTAGCACACTGGTTTTAAGTTAAAGAGGAAAAAAAATCCTGATTGATTACTTTTAGATATATTTTCACAGGACAAATAAAAACTGCCAAATTAACAAATTAAAAATGATTTCCCCCTTTAAATGAAATGCCTCATTAGATAAGCTGTGTGCAGTGGGTTTACATTTATAAAGGTGGTTAAAGATGAAAGCTACAAGAAACAAGCTAGCTAATGTTAGCAATATCTCACTAGCTAACTAAAAAGACTTACAAAATTGAGTTAATTTTACCTAAACGGTTTCATTAACTCTGGTTTTACAGTGTAACAACCCTTTAATGACGAATTCTTGTGGTGCTAACAAATGATCTAAATGGGCGTGGTTGGTAGCGTCTGCAAGGCCTGACACTCCTCGTCCACTAGAGGGCGCTGTCAGCCGAACCAGCTGATTCAGGCTCACATTGTCGTTTCATTCGATATGAAGACGACGAGTTATCTCCTTTCTTTAGCGGACTGCCTGTTTGTTGTTGCACAAGACGCCTCCGCTGCCGGAGGAGTGTTGGCTGTAAAATGTGTCGGCGTACAGAGAGTGGAGGAGTGAAAGTGGGCGAGAGAGGAGGATGTCAATCTGTGTGTGTGTGTGTATGGGGGGGGGGTGGAATAAAATGAAGAAAATGAACTTTCTAACATTAACCCAAGAAGAGAAACTGGCAGTTCTCCTGCTGCTAAATATGTCTGCCTGCCACTGACAAAATCCTGTTTTAACACAAAAATACGTTTATCAGTGATTTGGGTGAAATTGGATCAAATTTTAGAGAAAATCATTTCTGGTTTTCCCTCTAACATCCTCTTACTATAGCAGCCAACAAGCATCGATGGAGTCAGAGGTTGAGGGTGAAACTCTGAAATATGAATATTTCTCACAAACTTTTCTTCATTACAGGATAAAAATGTGTTTCTGTTATTGTGTCTGACAGAAACATTTTCAGCTCCAGATTGTAAAGAGATGATAAAGAAGATGAATTGTTGGGTGAGAGAGGAAGAGGCTCTGACATCTGTTTCTATTGATGCTATCATATTTTATACCTGTTCACTGCTCCTCGCCAGCTGTGTGTTCGCTTTCATTTTCCTTTTTATTGTTGAAAGAAAGTTTCACTTTCACTGTTGACGTGTCCTCTTAAAGGAACAGTTCGACCTCTTCAGCTGCAGGATCGGCCCCGCTGTACAACCACAGCGTGTCATTTTACACTTTGTCTTCAGAGGAACAAACATAAGACAAACTTTATCGTTTGTACAAAAACAACAACAACAAATCAGTGATTTGGGTGAAACTGGATCATATTTTATGCAGAGAATATTGTCTGGTTTTCCCTCTGACGTCCCCCAGCTAACTGCTGCTGTAGCTGCGTGCTCTGTCTGTCGATTATCTGATTACAATGCTTCCACTTCTGTTTGTTAGATACCACCTAGGTTCCAAAAACACCAGTAATGTTAGCTTGTTCAGTTAACGTTAGCTGACTCAGTCCCAGGTAGCCAGGCACCAAACCTGGCAAAAAAACCCACCTTGGATGCTGTATTCGGTCCTGGTCTGGCCCTGTTGTTCACAGAGCTCCCAGTCCGGCTAACAGGAGCGCTACAGCTGCTTTAAGGAGAAAAGTAACGCACAGTCAGCGTTATTCCCTCCCTCGCTGTCTGTTTTTTGGAAACATGTCAATATGAGGAAGCAAACAACGCTCTGCTTTCTGACTTTAATACTTAAACTAGATGTTACTGGTTCTACTTTTACTAAAGGAACTTTTTTTACAATGTGGTTTCAGTACTTTTCCTTCAGGGAATCCCAATACTTCCTGCGCCAGTGGTTCAGTCAACTGTTTGTTGGTGTTTTTCTGCCTTCTACCTGCACTTAAGTGCTCATGACCTACGAGAGTGGCAAGGTCACCATCTCCTCCCACACACAGCCTGTTATCCCCATGGCAACTGAGTAAACGCCATGAAGGTCACAAGAAATGGCGGAAAGCTTCAGAGTAAGTATCAAACCAAATCTCATTGATATTCAGAGGAATTGTAGTCTTACTGAACATGAACTCTGAGTGCAGGAGAGACATGGACAGGACAACATGTTTCCTGTGAACCGGATCCGTCTGAGAAGATTAATGTCTGAAAACACAAACTCCCATCGAGAGTCATTTGGTGGAAGCAGCGGTTTAATGAGCAGATCTTGTTCACATCTGCTAAATATCCCTAATATCCCTTTTATGTTCAGTTTGAGTATAATGTCGCAAAGATGTTTCACAATAAAAGCCTTCTTGCGGC